GGGTGAATGGGGCTCTGAAATGGGGAGGCCAGAAGCACTGCTGGCTGAGGAAGTGGCTCTGCCCTTGGGAAGTGGGAAGGCAGCGACCTCTAGGGGCCCCTTCCCTCCATCCTGCAGCTCTGAGCTGGACAGTGCCCAGCCTGTTTCCTTGGGGCGGGGGTGGGTAGCAAAATTCATCTGCTGCCTGGAGACCTTTTGGGGCCCACAGATGGTGATCTGAAGAAACTCTGACACCCTGCTCTGGGCACCTTGTTTTAGAAGAGGTAGAACAGTGATAAAGACAGGACCTGAGGATAAGGGCCCCTGGCCTGGGGCGAGTGCAGGTGGGTGCCTGGCCTGGCCCCTCAGGGCGGTTCTTAGCATCTCTCCAGGGAAGCGGCTCCTTGGGCTGGTCCCCTTAAGCTTCCTCCACTGTCGGAAGGGGGAGCCAGGCCCCTGGCCTCACGTGCCTTGAGTCCTCCGCAGTCAGGACTGGAGGTCTGAACCGGCGGCCCCTTGTAGCGCTGTGGGAGAATGAAGTGCCAAGGTTCAAGCAGGAATCTGCTCTGGGCTTTCTGCCACATTCAGGGCCACAGTGGTCACGTCCAGGTGGTAGGACAGTGGGAAAACTGGCAGGAGGCGGGGCTCTCGAGGTCCCGTCTTCTCCCCCTCCCCACAAAGCCACACTTGCTGCCCCTTGAGTCAGGGTTGAGCTCAGCTCCTGGTCTGCGCTTTATCAAGAGGGAAAAGAGCTGCTTCTTTGGGCACAGGCACTGGGCTCACCCCCGACTGCCCGTCACCCCTCTGGGCCTGTTTCCCTGGCAGGGGGCCAGTGGCCAGGGAGGGTGGGAAGTGCCCAGTATGTGGGTGGGATGGTTGGAACAACCCGACCATTGAGGATGGGAAGGTGGCAGGAGGCCGGGCATGAGCCTAGAGCAGAAGCAGCGGTGTCCACGGAGCTGTGGGCCTGGCCCTCGCTTCCTGCGCCAGCATCTTCCTGAGGGAGGAGGCTTGTGTGCATCTCTTGGGAGGGTGGGCACCCTCCCGTCTCGCCCACCCTGCAGTGAGCTGTCCTTGCCACTCATCAAGGAGAGGGACCTGGACAGCTCAGTCTGGGGTGGGCCAGGCCTCACCACTTGCTCTGTCAGGGAGAGAAATCGCACTGCGTCCAGACCTTAGTCGCCTGTCATCCCAGGTACCAGGGCTGGAATCTTCACCTCTGTGGCTGAGGAGGATTTGCCAGGGTGTCCGATGTTCGTCCTTGTGCGGCCAGAGCCATGTCTGAGTTGGCCTCTTGCTCTGTCACAGTGCATTGGCTGTGGCTGCGGGTCACTGCCCGGCCTATTCTGTGCTTAGACGCAGCTCTTGGGCTGCGTTTGTTCATCTAAAGATGGCCATAGGCCCCTGCCCACCGTCCAGGGCTGTGCTTAGGGTTGGAGGCCAGGAGGGGTGGGCTCTGGTCAGCCCATGTCCTCCTCGGGCCTGGAGGGCCTTGATTGCCCTGGGCTGAGATAGCCCCTACAAAGCCGACCACCTCCGCCTGCAGATGACAGGGAAGGACAGCAAACATTCCACAGCTTTGCTAAGTGTGTCCTCCCAGCCAGCGGCCCCGGCCAAAGTGCTTTTCTGAAGCAAAGACGGGAAAATGGGAAACTGGTTCAGTCTTCAGGGCCCGTTCCCGGCCCCAGGCTGGTTTTCCCTGAGGTCACCCAGCGCACTGCTTCGGAGGGGGCCAGGAGGGGGTCAGAGCCAGGTAGTGGGGGCTCCGAGGCCAGGAGGGGTGTGGAGAGCTGGCGCGGGTAAGATGCCCCGGCTGTCACCGCTGCACCTCTCCCGGCTTCCCGCTCATCTCATTCCTCAGGTGCTACTTTGTAACCTGAATCGAAAATGGGTCAGGTCCTGGCGAGGGAGGGGCCGCAGACAGGCTGACGCTGTGCTCTCGGGCCCTGGAGCACAGGGCTCAGGTTCCCATCTTGTGCTCTTGGAACTGAGAGGTGCCTGGGAGGTCTGGCAGTGGCGTCTGGTCCCCTCCCTGCCATGGCTCATTGGAGTGGGCAGCCTGGGTGCCTTGCCCACCTGCCACCCCCCAGCCAAGCTGAGGAAGTGGATGCCAGGGCAGGCTGGCTCAGCCCCGGGCAGCAGAGACACGGCAGGCAGCCAGGCCTTGGGACGCTGCAGGTGGGCTGAGTTCAGGGGCTTCTGCCCCAGGCTGCAGACCCTGAGCAGGTGTGTGACCAGTGCCTGTCTGTTTGCAATAGCCCCGACCCTCTAACTGCGCCCCGTGAGCCACCAAGACCGAACCAGGGTGGGGAAGCGGCACCACCAGCCAGCCTTGCAGAGGCAGAGCCCCTGGAGCAGTGACAACGTGGGAGATCTTCTGGTGCAGGGAAGGGGAGGAAAGAGGAAAACACAGGCGAGCAGCCTAGCGCTGCCCTCCGTGCGCCTGCCTGTGATGTGTCAGTCTGAGGCGCGACAAGGACCAGAGCTCCGTGCCGTGAAATGGTGAGATGTCCTAACCCCACTGTGCCCCGCCACAACCTCTGGAAGGTCAGAGTTCACATCCAGTGGCCCCACAGTGGAGGTGGTGGCAGGGTGTTCCAGGGGTCAGCCCCGGAGGCTGGAGGGGCCAAGCTTGAGGGACCGGAGAGCCTGCTTCAGGTACCTGCAGTTCCTGCCCCCGGGAGAGCCCCGTGGGGGAGGCGACCAGCAGGCTTCAAGACCCAAGTCTGACGTTCTTACCCTGCTGCTCCTGGGCTCCCTCTGCCTCCTGGGAGAGGCTCCCCCACCCCGCCTCATGCTGGCCTGAGGGTGCAGCTCTTCTGGGATTGGTCCCGGCTCTTCTGCGGTGAGCAGGGTGGGTGGGGAAGCCCTGGGAGAGCAGTCATTTGTCTTTGCTTGGCCCCTGCCACCTTCCCAGACCTTTTAAAACGGGGGCGGGATGGGAGAGAAGGCGGCATCTGGGGACCTGTGGGGACGTGCCTGGGGCGCTGAGCCCTGCCTTGCACTGCACCTGACCTGTCTGCTCTGCTCGTGCTATCAGCTGTGACGCCTCTTTGTCCCTGGGTTTGCTTAGCAACTGAGAGACAGGATCCAGCTTCTCTTGAGAGCACAGTTCCAGACGACAGCCATAGATTATCTAGCCAAAGGCAGTCACTTGGCAGATAAGGAAACTGAGTCTGGGCATATTCTCGGGGTGGGTGGCAACGTGCTCTCCTGATGGCTGCAGTGGGGCCTCAGGAGCATTTTCTAGGGCCTAGTCATGGGACAGTGAACCAAGTCTAGGGCCTGGTTCGGGCTCCAGAGGCCAGTGGCAAGGCCCATCCCGGCCTCTGTGACTCCCGTTGAAGCTGAGACTGTGCTGAACACACTGGATCCGTGCTGGGAGGGTTGGGGAGACGCCACCGGCTTTGCTGAAAGGGGGGGCCTGGGTCGGGGGTGTGTATCTCAGTGCTTCCTACCAGATCTTGTCTGGCCCAGTCCCTTAATTTAGTAGATGAGGAAACAAGAGGCCTAGAGCCATGAGGAGAGTATCCTGGGTCCTGCAAAGGGATGGTTGCTGCTGGGGCTGCAACTCTGCAGTGCTGTGTGCCGCCAGGGCTCAGGGCAGAGCTGGCCGTGGAGGCTGGGGCATGAGGCAGGCTCTACGCTCTGCCTTCGCCACACTGGGCCCTGGCAGGCTTGGTCCTGAAGGCCCTCGCTGGGGCCCCTTCCTGCTTAGAAGCTGCACCATCTGAGCGGTGTCCAGGAGCTGGGCCTCACTCTCCTCTGTCTTGGCTGTCCCTGTATTCCCAGTCCTCCCAGCTGCTGGCAGGCGGGAGAGACTGGGAAGGGAGTCCGCCAGCCAGGGGCAGCCAAGCCCTGGGCTCAGAATGGGGTGGGGACGAGGTGCAACCAGTGCTTGCAGGACTGTCTCACCCCACTGGCGAGGCAGCTGGTGGGGGGCAGGTGGACAGGAGGGGCCCTCCTGGGTCTCCCCCCCGCCGAGTGTGGCCACTGACCCTGGCTGTGCGTGGACGTGTGCCCCGCAGGTTGCAGTTCCCCCAGCTGGCCCTGAGGCGGAGGCTGGGGCAGTTGAGCTGCATGTCCAGACCTGCCCTGATACTGCGCTCCTGGCCCCTGACCATCCTCTACTACCTCCTGCCCTTCTGTGCCCTCAGCCCGCTCAGCCGGGTGGGATGGAGGCCCGTGAGCAGGGTAAGTATGCGCTGGCCCCAGCCCTTTCCCAGGGTGGGCCTGAGGCGCAGGTGGGACCAAGTTGTCAGGAATGGAGGTGATGGCTGTGCCCTGGTTGGTGGGTGTCAGAAGGTTCACTGGGACGGCCACGGCAGCTTTTGAGAAGGCAAGGCTTGTTGGTGGCCACGCGGGCCCCAAAGAAGTGACTGTGAGGACTCGCTGTGCACTGCCTGCTCTCCTTGCCTGCCTTTTTGGGGCTCTGGTCCTGGAAGGAACCCACTCTGGGGATTCAGAGAGCGGTGTGTGTCTCTGACTGCGTTCAGGCAGAAGGGAGCTAAGAGATGATTTTGAAGACTCCAAATTAATTCCTGAAGCCAGAGGATGGTTCAGGAGGGCTGGGGCCTGTTTGGACCCCTTAGGGGAGTTGGTAGACTTGTTCTAGGCACCTCGGCGTCTCTCCCTTCCCCGAGAGGTCTGAGATGTGACGGGCACGAGGCCCACCACACACTGACGCTGCGGCCAGGTCAGGTCCATTCACATCTCCCCACCCCTCTTCAAGCAGTAGGACTGTGCTGGCCAGTCGGCCACTCTGGGGCTGGGGCAGTTGCTGTTTGACCTTGGCGTGACATGACTGAAACGACCTGAGTTGTACGTAAATCCTCAGTTTGAGAGACCATTTGGCAAGTGCAATTCTGGTTCCTAGTGAGAAACAGCCGTATCACAAAACCAGGGTGGGGCGCCTAGGCCTGGTGGCCTCTGTTGGGCTCGAGTTCTCTCCTGCACTGGGGGGTGGGCTCTTTGGAGCTGGGGGCAATGTGGCCAAGTCGGACCCCACCCTCTGGCTGCAGGTGGCCCTGTACAAGTCGGTGCCAACGCGTTTGCTGTCGCGGGCCTGGGGCCGCCTCAACCAGGTGGAGCTGCCGCACTGGCTGCGCAGGCCCGTCTACAGCCTGTACATCTGGACCTTCGGGGTAAACATGAAGGAGGCTGCCGTGGAGGATCTGCACCACTACCGCAACCTCAGCGAGTTCTTCCGGCGCAAGCTGAAGCCGCAGGCCCGGCCGGTCTGTGGCCTGCACAGCGTGGTGAGGCCCGACCCCTACCTCCCTTCCTCCTGTGGAAATGGGATTCCCGCCTGTCTTGGGAACCAGGCCCAGCAGCCTCCAAGGCCAGGGCCTCGGTGGGTGGCTCCTCCCAGGCCGGGCCCCACCTGCCCAGCACGGCCCCCCATCTCCAGCATGTGTGTCAGGGGCGGGGCTCTGGGGGCTCAGCAGATGACAAGGTAGGGGCTGGCTCCTAGGGGAGGAGACACCCTCCCTCCCAGCAGCAGCCTCTCCTGGTGCTTCCAGATCAGCCCGTCGGATGGGAAGATCCTCAACTTTGGGCAAGTGAAGAACTGCGAGGTGGAGCAGGTGAAGGGGGTCACTTACTCCCTGGAGTCGTTCCTGGGCCCACGCACCTGCACGGAGGACCTGCCCTTCCCACCAGGTGGGTGACGGCAGACGGAGCCAGGGCAGCCTGCTGCTGTGTGGCTGGGCCAGGTGTCAGAGGGCTCAGGGAGGCACGTGGGGCAGGGAAGGCTCAGGCACTGGGGGCTGGCACCAGAGCTCCCGTGGGAGCCGTGTCCCGACTCTGCACAGGCTCCATCCTGGAGCTCATCTGAGAGCATGGCCCTCGTGCCTGCCCCTACCCCACAGCCACCTCATGTGACTCCTTCAAGAACCAGCTGGTCACTCAGGAAGGGAACGAGCTCTACCACTGTGTCATCTACTTGGCCCCCGGGGACTACCACTGCTTCCACTCCCCCACCGACTGGACAGTTTCTCACCGGCGACATTTCCCAGGTAGGCCCAGGGCCAGCAGGTGGGTGGGAGCTGCCCTGTGGGCTGCCGACAGAGGCTCTAGGCTGCTTGGTGTCAGGATACCAGGCTCCATTGGGGTCACTGAGGCCACGAGTTGACTGCTTCAGGCAGGGGAGCCTGGGGTCCAGCCTGCTCTGCTTTTGGAATGACATTGAGGTGACAGGTCATGTGTCCCTCTGGGTTATGGCTCTGAATGGGGAGTAGCAGAGGTCCCTGCCCCCACAGGCTCCCTGATGTCCGTGAACCCCGGCATGGCTCGCTGGATCAAAGAGCTCTTCTGCCACAATGAGCGGGTAGTCCTGACCGGGGACTGGAAACATGGCTTCTTCTCACTGACGGCCGTGGGGGCCACCAACGTGGGCTCCATTCGCATCTACTTTGACCGGGTGAGCTGGCCCCAAGCCCTGCCAAGGCCCAAGGGCTGGACCTCTTGGGTCCACCCACCTTGCCTGCTGGGTGGCAGATCCACTAGGACTTTTTAATTCTGGGAGGGTTACGCCTCTGGCCAGGCCTGAGGAGGGGCCGCCCCTGCCGGCTGAGGCTTCCCTCCCACTTTGCTGCCCCTTGCACCTTAACTGGGGGTGGCTGGGAGGGAGGGAATTTACCTCCCCGCCTGGCACTTGGCTTCTGCCAGGAACCATGGTCCAAGGAGAGAGTGAGCGGGAACAGAAAGGGAGTGTCAAGCTTGGGGTGGGCCGTGTGGAGGGCGGAGCATGTGGGAAGGGGGCCGGTGCACAGAGCCTGCTGCCCACCTTGCACATGGGGGCTGCCTTTTTGGGTGTCAGTTTCTGACCGATGGCCCCTGGCTCCCAGTCTGGCAGCACCCTTCATGCTGGGAGAACAGCTGGTCGGCCTGGTTTCTCCCTGTCCTCCTGGGCCCAGTTCACAGCGGGTGGCGGCTGTGTGTGATCCCGCTAGACCAGGCCCTACTGGCCCTGAGCTGCCATCCCCACTTCCTTTTTGGAGCTGAGTTGGGTGGTGTTGGGAACAAGCAACAGAGGGAGTAGGACCCAAGCACAGGTGGAGGTGGCACTGACCTGTGGCCTCCTGCCACAGGACCTGCACACGAACAGCCCTCGGTACAGCAAGGGCTCCTACAACGACTTTAGCTTCGTGACGCACACCAACAAGGAAGGCGTCCCCATGCGCAAGGGCGAGCACCTGGGCGAGTTCAACCTGGGCTCCACCATCGTGCTCATCTTCGAGGCCCCCAAAGACTTCAACTTCCAGCTGAAAGCAGGACAGAAAATCCGCTTTGGGGAGCCTCTGGGCTCTCTCTAGAGCCTCTTTGTGGCTGCTGAGGGCCTTTTCCGAATAGAACCTGACTCTCCTAGAGGCAAAATGCCACGAGGCCGTCCGGGTGGGGGGATCTTACCAGGTAGGACTGGAATGATTCCATTCCCACCTGTCTCAGAGGTGCAGACAAGAGGTTCTGGATCCTTCCCATGAGGTGGTCAGAGCCCCTGCCATGCCCTCAACCTGTGCTGTTCCCTCCCCCCGCTGAGCATCCGGTCGGTCCACCGTCGTTTCAAGGCGATGACTGGTAACCATGTAGTGTCTTGCTGCTGCTTCCCTCACCTGGGCCATTTTCTGTCGGCCCTTTTTGCTTTTTTTTGGCCTTAACTCCCTGCACAGGGTGAGGTGCCTCCTTGGCACGGACTGTGGACACTGCCCCCCCACGGGGCCACACAGCCTTCATGACAACTGCTTTTTCTTCCCAAATTTACTTCATTCGGCTCATTGGAAAAAGCGGAATCTTTCTTTGCACTTGTAGCTGAGCGCATCACCCTGGACCTGCTGCTGTCTTCTGAGGACAGTGACTTACGATGTAGACCGGCCTTCTGGAGCTGGCTTCTCTGTGTGGCAGGCAGGTGGCCCAGGGAAGAGCTCGTGTCCCCCTCCCTGTATCCAGCCCCACGTGAAATGTGGGAAGTTGCTGCCGTGGTGGAGGCAGAGGGATCAGTGCCTAGAAACCCTGCCCCAGTTAGCGAGTACTCAGGCCGTGGGGAGCCCGAGGGTGAGGACAGGGCCAGATTTCATATGGCTGCTAGGGACACCGTGGATTTCTCCTGCAGGAGAAGTCATGGAACTCTTTCAACTGTATCAGTAGCACAGTATTTTTGTATGAAAAGTGGGAGACTTCTGAACAGTAATTCATTTAATTGCAAAACATTTTGAAATAAAAAGCCAAAACTCAGTGTAGCTTTGCATTCTGTTCCTGGAGGTGGCCGGAGGCTTCCCCCAAAGCCCAGCTCCTACCTCCCTGGGGCGAGCACGCTAGCACAGGCTGCGCCGCAGGGCCTGGATGCGGGTGATACAGGCGCCGACGGGCTGTCGCTGGGCTTGGAGCTCCTCGACCAGCTGCTGGACCTGCAGCTCCACCTGGGGGTGGGACAGTCTGGGCTGAGAGGAAGCACAGCCAGGTGGGTACAGGGCCTGGCCGGGGGCCTCACCTCCTCAAGCTCTTGCTGCACCTGCAGCTCCATTTCCTGGTCCTCAGGCCTGGGCTCCTCTCGGCTCAGCTCCAGCCACCTGCGCAGGCTGCGCGCTTGCCGCTGACAGGACCTGAGGGGTGGAGAGAGAAGGGTCTGTCGGGCAGGGTGCCCTGAGCTGCAGGCATGAATTCCCATTCCTCCCCCCGCCTCCTTCACCTCCCCAGCGAACAGCAACTCAGGCGAGCCCAGGTGAAAGCACCCTCCTATCCCCCCTCCCCTGTGCAGAGCTGGGGCTGAGGGGACCAGTCTGTTTTCTCGATTTTCCGAGGCTGCTACATGCCGATGGCCCCCAGACCACCGCTGCAGCTAGGAGCCCGGGCCTGTCTTCTCCACACCTTTTAACATTGGCATTATGATCACTGGGTAGGTAGCATGACCTGATGAGGTTTTTATAGTTTTGCTTTTTCACCGCCCCCATCGAAAGCAGGGCCTCTGTCCCAGGTGGGCCTTGCTACGCAGGACTGAGCAGGACAAAGGTGACGAAGTGGAGGGCTCCAGTCCCCACCTGGTGGCCCACCCCCAGGATCCTGGCAGCTGGCTCAGGGGAGATGGAACCCCCGCCTTTCCAGGTAACACCTGTCAGCATGTTGCCAGGTACACGGACCATTCCCGGGCCTTACCAGAGGTTCTGCTTGGTGGCCTGGTAGTGCTGTAACTGCTGCTGGATCCCCTCAAGCTCAGCCTCCAGGTCCACACAGCCTACAGCAACAGGATACCGAGCTTGACCATCTTCCCCTCTGGGACCTGGGGATTCACTGCCCTGACAGGCCCCAGCCACACACCTGCAGTTTCAGAGCCAGGCCCAGCCCTGGTGTCTGTGAAGTCCCCAGGGAGGAGCAGATAGGGGTCAGGGACACAGGCCGGGGATGGGGGGGCCTGGGGCTTCAGCTTGGGGGTGGTCGGCAGAGCTGACACCTGTAAAGGAAGGAAGGATTGACACTGAGCAGAGAAGCCAGGAGGAAGCCCCGGGAGAGGGGCACCGAGTCCTCGTCACCTTCTGTGTCACCACCTGCCCACATACCAGGCCCCAGCCCCCGGAGCTGGGCTTCCTGGGCACCCACTGAAGCAACCCAAGGAGCAGCCCACCTGCTCTGGGGGCTGTTCCAGGCCTTCCTGAGCCCCCCACCCCCTCCTCTGAGCTCAGGACCTTGCTGAGCTTGGACTTTAGTGAGCAAAGAGGTCAGGCAGAGGCAACTGTTCCCGCTGTCCTGCAGCCACCACCCCTGCAGCCCTCCCCTGGGGAGACCACACAGCCTGGCACCGCCAATGGCAGGAACAGACCCCGCTCAACCCCACTCTAGCCAGGGTGTGTGGCCCCACGTGGCCAAACACTCCAGGAACGCCACCTTCCTGCCCCCACCCTTTCAGGCCCCAGCGTTTCGGGTGGCCCGACCGTGGCCGTCACCTCCATTACTGAGCTCTAACCACCCGTCCCTGCCCAGGCTCCTCCCCAGGGAGCCTTGGCCCCTCTGTTCTCCCTCCATACGTTCCTCCCAGGTGAGCTCATCGGTTCCCTCCATACGTTCCTCCCAGGTGAGCTCATCGGTTCCCAGGGGGTTTAACCTTCAACCTATGCTGAGGATTCTGTCTACGCCTCTGGCCCTACTTTTTCCCCGAGGGCCAGACTCAATGCCACTGCTTTCTCTCAAATCTGACAGGTTCAAAATGGGCTCTGTACTTTGCCTGAAACCTGTCCCCACCCCACCTTTCCTTCTTTCTGTAAAAGAACTCATCGTTCCCAAAGTTATTCAAGCCAGAAACCCAAGAGTCATCCTCGATCCCTCCCTCCCCTCATTCTCTGCAAACCCATCAGAGCGTGTCCTGCTGCGTCGCCGCCAGCAGTGCCTGTCCACCTCCGCAGCCACCGGCGCGCACAGGGCATGAGCCCGTGTTAGAAACCAGGCTCGGTGCTCCCTGCTAGAACGTCCACGATTTCCTACTCAGATTCCAAACTTCTCCCCAGGCCTGCATGAGCCTATGTGACCTGCAGTCACCTCACCGGTCTGCACACAGCGGTTTTCTTTCGATTGTCTCTGCCTACGCCGTAAGCTACACGAGGGCAGGGGCTCAGCAGGCTGTGTCCCTCGCACCTGGCGCGTGCAGTGGGCACCTACACTTGACCGGATCAGTGGCCTGCATGTCTTCCCATGCCAAGGTGTTCCAGAAACCACGAGTACAGCTGTGGCTACAGAGCCGAGTGCACCAGAAAGGGCACCCCAGGCCAGACCTGCTAGAGCATGACTCACCCGGGCTGGTGCTTCCGCCCCATGGGGCATGAAGGAGGAAGGAGGCAGCAGCAGCAGCTCCGGGCCTGTACTTGCCATGGGGGGCAGCTTTGGGCCAGGGGCGCCTGATAGGGCCCCAGACAGGGGGCTGCTGGGGACCAGTGCTCTTGGGGCCTCTGCCAGGGCGGCCCTCAGCAGGGAAGGGCCGGCGGGTTGGGTCGTGCTCCGGCCACACTCCTGCAGCTTTTCAGGCCTGAGCAGAGGGAAGGCAGGAAGGAGCCTGGTCAGGACGTGGACCCTTCTCTGGCACCAAGGAACAGGAAGGAAAGGGGCCACCCACCCTAGGGCCACCAAAACACAGGTCCCAGATGGAGGTGCCAGCTGCTTTGGGGGCCCATGACCACACAGCCTACCCCTGCCTCTGGAGGGGGCCGCACCCCAGGGACGACCACTGGCTCTGCACGGGCTCCAGCAGAAAGTGCGGGCGTCGCGGCTGCTTCCTCGCTGAGCAGGCAGCACTGCTGGGCGGAAGCACAGGGTCTGCCCCTTTAGGTTGACCAGGGCTGCAGAGGCCCAAGATCTCTGTGGGTGGGGGCCGTCCAGTCCCACCCTCCAGTTTTACAAGGAGCCTGAAGGCCAGAGGAGGTGCAGCTCCTGCCCAAGGTCAGCAAGCTGGGGCGGACCTGGGCCACGGAGGGTGCCTGATGCCACAGGGCTGCTTCACCCAGGTTGTCTTTTGACCTGTGCGGCAGCCCTGGCAATGAAGGTGTGGTCCCTGTCACCGGGGAGCAGCCTCTGAGCCGCCCGGGCTCCTGTCGAGGTCGGGCAGTACAGGGCAGAGCAGGGACTGGGTCCTGGGCCGGTGCACCCGCCGTGATCTCTCCCCGAGCTGGTCACTCTGGGGGCTGCCAGCTGCCCCAGCACAGGGTGGGGTTAGGTGTAGGGTTTGGGGAGACCACTGGGGGTAGGGGAAGAAGGGCAAGTGCCAGGTCACAAAAAGAGGGGTTTCTGACAGGGAGCCAGTGTCTTGGCTGTAAGGAAGAGGGAAACAGCTGCCTACTGCTTATTCCTTTTGTCATCTGCATGTATCACTTTGAAAAGACTGTCTCAGCAGTAGGACAGATAGGAGAGGGCAGGAAGGTGTGGCAGAGGAAGGGACACCCACTTCCTGAGCCTTGGCAGGCAAGGGAGAAAGAGGGTCTGGAAACCCCACTCCATTCTCCCCCTGCCCCGGGAGGGGCGGGATCTGCTCAGCTGTGACAAGGCCATCCCTGGCCCGTCCATCCCGTCAGGACTGGGCTTTCCTCCCTGCTGTACCATCCAAGCTTTTGTCCCAGGTGGGAGGAAGGAGGAGGAGGAGGAGGAGGTGAGGAAGGGCGACTCACAGCTCACGGAGGTGTGGCTCCCCCGTGGCAAGGGCCAGGCTGCTCAGGGCTCCCTGAGGCTGAGGAGCTCGTGGCTTCTTGGTCTCCCTGGTGGCATCCCCAGCCCCAGCAACAGCTTGGTCGAGAAGGAGACCCTCAAATGTCACTCTCCTGCTGGGTGCGACGGGTGCTGGGGGCTGGGGCTCCCTGCCGCAGCCCAGCACCTTCTGTTTCCAGAGTGTGGCGCAGCGGCGGACTGCATGGTGGAGCTTGTGGGCTGCCTGTGACAGGGCCCCTCGTCAGCTGTCGCCGGACCCCGCCCGCTCCCCACAGGCAGGGTGGGCACCCCAGGCCTACCTGGACCTGCTGCTGGGCCTGCAGCTGCTGCCGGGAGGCCTTCATGCCCGCTGAGAAGCGCAGGAGGCGCGTGGCGCCCTCCCAGAGGAGCTGCCGGTGGTAGGCCTGCACCGCCTGCTCCAGCCGCGCCTTCTTCCTCCTCCTCGCCTGCACGAAGCCCAGCCACGCGGTCCACGCCTCCAGGGAGGGCAGGAGTGAGCCGGGCCTGCCTGCTTGGGCTCCCACAGGGGCTCTGCCCATGGCTCACCCCGGCAGTAGCAGCAACATGCAGATCGCGTTACCTTTGCCTGCAGCGAGAAGGCCCAGAACCACAGGGCGCGCGCCGTAGCCTGCTGCTCCCACCTCCTGGCCGCCAGCTAGGGCCAGAGAGACTAGTTACTTCCCTGTCACCTCTTCAGGGAGACCGTCCTGAGCACAGGGCCGGGGCTAACTGCCTGGCTCATCAATAATCCCCTCCCTCCACCAAGAGGGATCCACACGCTGATCTGTGGACAGAGGAAGGGCCTTTAGGAGAAAGGCTCCTGCAGGGGGGGCGCGTGGCGACAGCGGGCTGGGGGTGGGAGGCCCGGGAGCGGGGAGAAGGGCTGGGCCGAGGGCGCTGTCATGTGTGATGTGCGTGATCCCCCCAGGCTTTTTATCAAGGCCTCATCAAAAACATAACATGGATTTCATATTAATTTTAGACATTACACTGATGTACTTTTTAACATGACACTAGAAAGCTAAACTGGGCACTGAAGTGGCTGGCCTCACACAGGTCGCAGATGGGAGGAAGCTGGTGCCCAGAAGGGCCTAGAGGGGGAGAGGGAGGTGCCCCAGGACAGGGTGATACGGACAACACTGAACCGGAGGTGGGGGCTGAAGGTCACCCCCAGCCTGGACCTCATGAGCCAGCAGGAGGGAAGCGGGAAAGGGACATCTCAGGGACTCCCACCTGCTGTCTCCATTGGCGGAAGCAGGCCCGGCCGAGTCTCTGTGCCAGGAGCTGGGTGCCCTGCCGCTGCAGGAGCTGGGGAGAGAGCAAGTGCACAGGGAGCTGCGTCCCAACTGCAGTTGGGGACCTCACGTCCCGTCACCAGGGTGAGGGTCTAACCCAGATTGCTTGGGGGCAGCCACAGGGTAAGGCTCCCGGCCTAAGTGGACTGTCCTCCCAACGCCAGGAGTCCTGGGTGAGGCCAAGGGCCTCCCGCACAGGCAGGGGGTGTCTAGAAGACTCCATAGGTGCCCGGCTCTGACAAGCCATGGGTCAGCGTGAACCAGGTTTCCCTGCTGAGCCATCTTCCCCCAGGAGACCCGATTCTGAGGCTGGCTACCCCCAGTCTCCAATGAACACCCAGAAAGGGTCCTGCAGCTTTGTTCCCGCGGGACCCCAAGCCACCCACCACCCGTAGCAGCTGCCCCGAGTTCTGTCAGGAGAGACCCCTTCCTGAGAGGTGTCTCCTGGCCTGGACACCCCGTGCCATACAGGGGGAGCTTGGAAAGCTGCCGCCTCCTGCCTCACCCTTTTCCTGACACACCCCAGATGGTGCGTCTTCCATCGGGCCATGCCCCCCAGCAGCAGCTGCCGGCGGTGGTGCCGCGCCGCCCTCTCCAGCCGGACTCTCTGCTGCGCCGCCCTCTGGCTGTGGTCCCGCCAGCGCCGAAACCAGGTCCGGAGACAGCCTGAGGCAGACCCAAGCCAGAGCCTGCCCTTCTGTAGGATTCCACAGGCGACTACGTCATGGCGAATGTTCAGGCAGCGGAGAAGGTTGTGTGGGGATGGAGTTGGGGTGTCCAGCCTCCACTTGGTGTCCTCCCAACGCCAGGAGTCCTGGGTGAGGCCAAGGGCCTCCCGCACAGGCAGGGGGTGTCTAGAAGACTCCATAGGTGCCCACTTGGTGGCCCCTCTCTAAGGACAGCTCTGGCCACCTTCAGCGACTGCGAGTGCCCTGGGGCCATGAACCAGATCTGCTACGCACTGTTGTGCTCCCCAGTGTCCCTCCCGGAGCTACCAGCCCGTCCACAGCCACCACGGGCATGCCAGGGGGTCCCTGCAGAGCCACATGCAAGATGCTGCCGGGCACATGAAGACCCTCCTCTGAGGGAGAAAGGGGCCTCGCCTGAGCTGGAGCTTAGAGGAGGAAGAGGCAGCTCCGCCCTTGGACTGCCAAGGTGTACCTGAGTCTCTGATGCCTTCATGTAAGCCAAGAAATCATCCCACAGGTGTGTGCACCTACTGTGTGCACAGCGTCTTGCCGCCCAGTCTCCCAAGTCCCTTGTACCACCTATAACGGACACGGCCAGCCCAGGCCTGCCACATGCCACCACCCCCTTCTAAGGAAAATCCTTCACAGAGAAGGAGTTTCAGGCTGTACCTCAAACCTGTCACCTCTAACTTACCCCCACGGCCAGGAGCGGGCACTTGACCTATATGGCAGCTGCCCCACACTGGCCAGAAGCCCCTGCAGTGCCAGGTGCAGAAGCTCTGCCCGGACAGAGGCCAAGGGGTGGATGACCCCTCGGCTTCCTTCTCAGGCGTGAGCTAGAAACAGCGCTGGCTCCGAGCTGAGGAGCAGCAAGGACCGAGGGGCACATTCGTGGCGGAGCAGGCAGGATGTCTGACCCCCGAGTGTTGTCCAAGGACGTCAGGACGATGTGTGCTCATCAACACACACGCAGGAGTCAGAACCAAACCAAAGTTGACTAATTTTTGTCCTGGAGTAAACTCTATTATGCCAATTTAACAACTGGATTGATTTTCTCTATAGTCCAACTTAAACCATATCTATTTTTTGTTTGTTTTTCTTTCAGGCTTCCTCTTCTTGGTATTAAACCATATCTAAACCATTTGTTTTCACTTTCATTTGTATTTTCATTTGTTCCAATTGTTCTGCATCCTCTGCAGAATGTCGGATTCCCCCACGTGGGCCCCAGGCTGTGCTAGGAGACCCCCGCCCCATCCCCTGGGTCTTTTGTGTGTTTGCACCTTGTGAGCAGAGGCACCGACTCCTGTTCCGGACTGTCTTTCCGAAGACGTTTATACAGCGGTAGGGGACTTCCTGAGGCTGACTGGGCAAGTGTCTGCTCTCTGCACATGCAGGGCCCAGCTGTGCAAGGAAGCAGGACCCTAACGCGACGCGGGCTGACCTGACAAGCAGCAAGGCCTTTCCCATCAACGCCCTCTCCCCACCCACCCGGACTCCTCCATTCCAGGTTCATTCCTTAAGTTCTCCATCGTTCTCAAGCCTTGGCCTTTCACGTTAACATAAAGTGGTTGGCAATGAGTCAGGAACAGGTTTCTGTGATGTCCTGGATTGAACAGTGCCCCCTCCCGCAACTCATTCATGTCCTTCCTGGAAGCTGGGAATGTGGACCTTACTTGGAAACGGGCTCAGTGCAGACGCAGTCAGGATGCTGTCCTACTGACGGAGGGTGGGTCCTTATAAGAAGGGCCCCAGGGACACAGGAAGAGAAC